CACTATACAGAAGCCTGATGATGGCAGATGAGATTCTGCTGAAACGTTGCTACAACTTATCTTTGTAAGCTGCCCAGCATCACAGAGCATTGGGGAGCTATGTAATGTTCTTCAATAAACAATGCCATGTAGTACTTGCATCAATGAAGAGAAGCACAGAACTTTAATGGGGTGTAAAATTTGTGTATATATATATACACACACACACACACAAAGATAAATATATATATATATATATACAAAGATAAATTATATATATCATTGCATCAATGAAGAGAAGCACAGAACTTTAATGGGGTGTAAAATTTTAAGAAGGTAAAGCCATGACCCTTTTTAGATGTCTTCCATGATTTGATGTATTTGAAACAGATAAAAAGGGTAAACTTGCAAATATAGGCTTGCAGATATGGAATTGTTTTTCTCTGGTTACCTTAAACCAGATAACTCTGCTCTAAACACCAAATTTGAACAGTATCATTTGCTATTGCATTTCAGTATTACAATTTGACATAAAAATCCAATAGAATGTTTTCCTGTCATTGAATGCAAAATAGAACAAAGCATTTTTAAAGAACATCATAAAATATCCTCCTTTCCATTAAAAATATAGCAGAATTCTAATATCTTTAAAATCCTCCATTTCACATAATTTCAACAATCCCTGAGGTTTTCTGCACATAATAATATTAAATGGATATACCATTATGAAAACCAATTATGAGCCTTAGCTCTGTAGGCAACTCTGATACAGGAGCACAGAAAGTTGGTGTGTCCTTCTAAAAATCATTTATTTCCTTGTTTTCTATTCAAAAGAATTATTTTTCCATAAATATCTGTATATATAACGTCATTTTGTAACACTGGATTATTGAGCTTTTCTAATTAATGACATATCATATGTCAAGGTACACCTCAATTCTGGCTCTAAATTACCACAATTTACACCAAGGACCGGTACAAAAATGTTTTAATTTCTAACACAGTATTTTTTAAGATAAATTTTTATGCAATTGCTGTATCGAATAATTGCTTAAGCAATAGCACTGGAATCACTCAGTTGTCTTTAAAGTCATTTAACCAGTACTGAAGAAAACTGTTTATCTCCTCTCAAAGCAGCTCTTTAGAGGCTGCATAGATCTTCACTATGGCCTCTAATGATGGTTGCATGTCTAAAAGAAGTTAAACAACCTGTTTGTTTCCCATGTGATCTCAAGCCAATAGTGTCAAGGTTTACAACGGAAATGGAAGAACAGAAAATTTAAGCAAATAAACCAGTGTGAGATGAGAACTCCTAAGCTCAGCTAATGAGAGGCTACTACTCCAATATACAGGAAGTCTGCTAATCATTATCTTTCATATTGATCATTATCTGGCTTCTTTTTCACCCCGACAATGTATTTTTTTTCTGCATGTATTATTACTATAATTGTTATTGCTACTATTGATTTGAGATTTGAGGTAATTTGGGTCTGGTGTACATTTTAATTATGAAGACGAAAGGAGGAAAATAATAATAATATTTTATTATTGATAATTTCCTGATTAGAATTGTTTATTTATTCAGATAAATGGACTCTTCTGTTGTTTTTCTTTTTTTTAATTCATTGTTTTATTCATTCATCCGGCGTAATTGATATCATGCTTGCATTCAATATTTATTCATGATGGCTTTCTATCAACAAGTTTTCTTTCTGGAATGATTGGACAAATCTTTATTTTCTTAAAAGAATTCTCAGTAAAAATGGCTGCACTCATTCATTCCAAACAGAAGCTACCTTTTGCTATGATAATATGATTTTGTTAAAAACAATTCATTTACAAACTGCAATGGTGAAGATAAATTTACACATTTACTGTTCCAAGATTACTTGCTGCTTTTGCTGAAGTAGATGGAGTGAACTCTACACTGTGTTGTTCAAAATTCATATCAAGATATATGTGGATTTCTGGATCAGATTACCTGGCAAACATATTCTAAAACAGCGGTTGGCAACCTTCCTAATGCCGTGACCCTTTAATACAGTTCCTCATGTTGTGGT